TCACTTAGCAGACGTCCTTGCGACTGACGTGCATCTCTCTCTCTCTCTCGTGTGTGTATATATCCCGGAGAACCGACCGACCGACCGGCGGCAGCGACCGCTTTGCTTTTTGTGTATTGGTGCGCTCATGTCCCGATAAGTGACAAAATATGTGGTAGTAGTGAGCAAGCCTTCACATTGTTGCCTTTCACTCGGCACTTTACTGTATATATTCATATATACATATAAAATATACACACCACTACCAAACGACGACGCAGACTCTCTGCGCTTGATAATCACTAAACTTTAACTCCATATTTCGAAATATATCGCCCTTTTGATATGCATAGAGTACAAACTTTCTGTTTTCCGATTAGTTCAAAACTTCGTTTGGCCAGAGGAAGTTTTTAATTTGTTATTAATATATAGTTTCAATATTTGAGCTTATTATAGTTTAAATCTGTATTAAATATTCCCAGTAAAATTATTATTGAACATTTTTAATTTTATTTCTTTACAATATAGAGGAAATATAATTTTATTTTTACATTTTTAACCTTTAAAACTGCAAGGTGATGGAAAATTTAACTTTTTCCGGTTTGGCAGACCGATATTTCTTTTTATATTTTTCTACACAAAAAAAAAATTTATTTGATTTAAATAATCAATTGACTATTTAAAAATAAATATTTATTTGTAATAAATTATAATAATAATAATAATCACGAAAACGTTAAAACAATAATATTTTAGGTTATATATGACTGACAGAACTAGTTGCGTAGGAAGATGCGCAGTAGTTACCTTTACAAGAATATACCGACTGATGTCGGTATTACAGGCCGCTATATGTACGACATTTGATATTATAAAATTTAACGAATTTTAAACTTTGAAATCTTTTTCTTTAGAAATTCAACAAAAATCATTTAAAAATACCTATTATGTTCTTAATCTAATAAAATTCTTAAAGTAAGACAAAAGTTGACAAATAATTTTATTATGTCATTAAACACGAGTGTATAAATATAAATAAATATATATATATAAACTTCGGTTATTAAGATGAAGAGAACAGGCTTAAACGAAGTGGTAGGAATAGAAAATATAGAGGGGAATCCCCGCGAAGAATGACAACCACTTCTAAGAATAACTATATACGTCAAACAACTTGAATTTTAAAGACCAAATTATTTTACACGAACAAATTATTATCAGTATAGTTGGAAAAAATCTCGATTTTTTTTTTTAATAAAAAAATAATTTCATTAGAATAAGAAGATGTATATAATTTTTATTTATTAGGAAAATATATTTTTTTAATTTCAGAAAAATAATTTTCTTCTCTTCTTAAAAAAAAGAAGAAAACAAATAAATGACACATAAAAGAAAACAAAGAAACTTTTGAATTAAATTGAATTCTGATATGGAAAAGTGAATTTATTATGAAATAATATATTAAGAATATTATTCATTATTTGGCCCTAAGCAAACACGTCTTTATTCTTTTCATAAAGGTCATATCATCCAAGAATCTTATAGATCTCTGGCGCACGTCATGTCACTTAAAATTCTATATACTATGTAAAAGATCAACGGAAAAATAAGAGGATCACGAAAAAATTAAATATAAGTATTTGATTATATTTAATCACTAGGATAAGGTTAATTACAATTGAAAATTGAATATTAAATTTAACATTTCGTATATTTTTTTCGTTAATTAATTATTAATTATATAGAATGAAAAATAAATTAAAATTCTTAAATATGCATTTATCACTAAAAAAAAAATATATATATATATATATATATTTTGTAAAATCACGTTGATTGTTTCATAAGAAATTTGAATTACTATCAAAAAACTTCTTTTTTTCAAGACAAAATTTTTTTTTAATTTAAATAAAAATGAATAAATATTGAACTGCTATCGAAATTTTTCTTTTTTCAAAGTGATAAGTTTTTAAAAAATTTGAATAAAAATGAATAAATATTGAATTGCTATCGAAATTTTTTTTTCTTCACAGACAGAATTTATTATTATAAAAATTTAAATAAAAATGAATAATTAATACTAAATTGATAAGTATATATAAAGTTTGAATTTATAGAAATTATCGTTTGACAATAAGTGAGATTTTCACACATTTGACAATATAATATTATAATATATAATAAAAATTTTTCTTCAAAATTTAAAAATATATATATATATATAATACAGTATTATTGCTTTAATGCTCTTTGTTTTAAAAAAAGTATTATAAAAATATACGCGGATAAATAAACAAATTTCAAAAATTAAATATAAATAAATACAACAGAAACAATATATTATTTATAAATAAGAAAATGTTTCTTAATTTACTTAACAAAATGTTTTCCTGATAAATCGTGATAATTGGTGCAAAATAATTAATTTACAAATAAAAAATCTTGTTGATAAAAGAGATATAAAGATCCTTATTTTGAATTATTTTTTTTTAAATTAAAAAAAAAATTATTGAACGTGACGATTTTAAGAAATCTTTTCATCATTATATGGAAACAGTAAGATTTGGTTTTTATACTTTTAACCCTAAGATTATGTCCATTTTCACTTTCTCTTCAATTGATTCTAATTTTCACTATAATTTTCATTTTCACTTTCATTGATTAGAAATTTGTGAAAATGAAATTCAAAGTGAAAAATAGAATTAGTTGAAGTGAAAGTGAAAGTGAAAATGAAATACTTTGGGCAATAATTTTTTTGCCTCAGAAATATGACAATTATTTTTTATTACTCTAATTTGGATAATATCAAACTGCAACAATGTGGTGAAAATAATTTGAGAGGAGAGCTACCGATATTATAAAGAAAATGGAAAAAGCCTTGCGACAACATAAGTACGACCTCGATCGCCTTCACCAATATAAAACCTTCGGATATATAATCGAAAAATATATATATATCCCTTGCATATGCAAGGGATTCGATTCACATCTCGAGGTTTCCAGTTTACTCTCACTTTTTTTCCCTCAAAGTCACCAAGAATTACTTCATCTTGTTTTTCAAAGTACAACCTCAAGATCCAAGGTTAATAATAGCCCACACAACTATATATGTACGTTTTCTTTTGTTTTATACAATAAACAATATTTATATATATATATAACTTCATTTATTTCGAGACAATATATTTTTTGTCATAAAGTATATAAAAAAAATAACACTCTTCCTGTTAATTTATATTTCTACAAAAATATAAAATGATAGACATTTTTTTAAATGATCTTAATACCAAAAGCTGAAGTAAAATCTAAAATTTATGCTTAACTCAAAGGAACGTTTAATCATTTGACATAACCTCAAAAGTAAACCTTGGTTTCATCAGCAAATAATTTTTTTAACACACGGAGAAAAATGGAAAAATGAATATAGTAACTTTTACTATACTTTAAAAGAAAAATCGAAACTGACCGCAGTTTCTGCGCATTTTTGGCAATTTTTACTTCAGAAATAGTCAAATTTACACTATTTCCGGAATAATTTTTACTATTTCAAGAGTAAATTTTACTATTTTCGGAGTAAATTTTACTATTTTTAGGGTAAAAAATTGACAGAAACTGCGGACAGTTCCGGTTTTTCTTTTAAAGTATAGTATAAAAGTTACTTTATTCGTTTTTGCATTTTTCTCCGTGCAACTTTGAAAAATCCTTTTTTTTTTACTTTTTACTTTGGAAATTTAATGTTTTTAGAATGAAGGAAAATTTTGTTTGAAATAACCAAAAATTTTGATTAAATTAATCGTATGTTTAAATACATAAAGTCAACCAAATATTTGAACATCTGTATAAAAAAAAAAAAATTTTCTCAAAATTTTGCTTTTTTCAGCATAAATTTCCAAAAATAGAAAGTCGATTTTCATTGCACAAGATTTTTTTTTTATCTTTTTAGAAATTATGAAGAAATTAGTTTGACATTATAAAAATTTATTTATATACACAATTTTGAAAGAGTTTATTATTATATCATTGACGGCCAATTACATATTTATGAATATATAATTTTTTTATCCTCTCTTTTTTTCGGAAAATGTTTATAACAATAAGTGTTATTATATAATTATTGTGCAGGTAATGAAGGGAAGTAATATTCGCATATTGTATAATTATATAGTGTCACGAAATTCGCAGAAACGTAAAAGTCTCAATATACAAGGTTACGCCAATATATATATATAAGCGCTCTTGTTGGCAGTCAGATTAATGAGGTTAATTACTCGTGCGCTTGATTGCCTAGCAGATTCTGAATTTACTTATATATTGTCAACAGGGAAGTTCTATATCTAAAAATATATATATGCATATACTGATAACACAATTTCAACATTCCCGCAAAAATTCTTTTGTCTTTTGTGCGCGCAAAGCCACATTCAGATAAATATATAAATAAAATTAATTCAAATTTTAAACGTTCAATTATTCTTTAGAGTCAATGTGTATGAAAATTTTCTATATTCATTTCAATATTCTTAATTTTTGTGAAATTTTATATATATATATATACATAACATTAAAATATGTTGTGAAGAGATTAAAAATTTTAATTAATGCTTTAAATTACGTAAATATAAAAAAAAATTTTAATTTAAAATTATCCAAAATATATTGAAGTAAAGAACTTTGATGTGTTATAAGAAAAATATAAAAACTATGTTTAAAAAATAAAATTATGCGTTTAAATTAGAGGCCATTTTCACCGTACGCAGAAATTTAATCTTCCAAGAGGTTAAAAGCAGTAGATTCTGCGTCTGCGCAAAAAATTTGCTTCTGCGCAAACGCAGAATTTACTGCATTTAACCTCTCGGAGGATTAAATTTATCCACACGATGAAAACGGCGTTATAATTAAGTGTTTCTTTTTTTGTGATTAAAAGAATTAAACATATTTTATGCATGCAGTTGTCATAAATCATTTTTGAATATCAAATTTATTGTTGTTTTGAATTTCTTCGATATTTAAATAAGACTTACCCCTTCATTTCCTAGGAACTGTATCGTGGGTTTCTGTTTGAGCTGATTCTGAAACAAAAAAGACAATGGAAAATTAAAACAATTGTCATATTAGATTAAAGTTAAAGTATTTTTTTCCCTGGCATGACAGAATCGATCTTCTATAAATTAACTTTAGATAATATTTATATTGTAGCCGTAAAATATATTTATATAATAATAATAATTAATGTCACATAATGTCAAAACATATTTTACGAAACAGCTAGCAATAATTTTATATAAATATATTCAAAATGTATAATAAAATAAATGTCCATCAATTTTTGAATAAAATGACGGAAATTTAGAAAATATACAGGAAACATTGAATTTTATATATAAATCCAATGCTATTGTGAATATTTGATTCTCAAGAGATGTAAAAGCACTTACAAAACATTTATTGCAGTCTTTTTTTTTTTGAATGAGAGAAGATTAAAGCATGTCACAAAGATTTACGTTCATATTTGACGGTTAGAAGTTTCAGTAAAGGGGAATAAGGCAGACATTAAAAGGCAAAGCATATATACCCCTTACAAAGTATTTGTAGTTTTTAAAATATGACTAAAATTCTCCCCCATCAATGCCATTATCAATAATAATAATAATATCATCAATTTTCATAATCCTTCGAAATGAAAGGTTAAGGTTGAAATTTATTATTATATTATATATTTAAAAGGACATTTTCGATTCATTATAAATGTTGCAAGTCAGATATAATTTGAACCGTCTCGTGCTGAACTAGAGAGAGAGAGAGAGAGAGAGAGACACTGTTCTTATTGGCGGAGACAAAAGAGAAGTTTACCCCCTGCTTGTAAAATTCATTACACCGTCGCCAGTCACGTACATTTCAAGGGATGCGGTGGTTGGCAACAATGGCGTCCTATTTTCGTTCAGACGGTCGATTATACACTCCAGTCTTCGAAAATCAAAATGTCCTTAACTTTACATAATATTAAAAGTGATTTCCTTCATAAAATTTATATTAATATTAAAATTATTCTCTTAAAACGATTTCGAAACAATAAAACAGGATATCTTGAAAGATTTTTTAAATTTTATTTTGAATATTTCGAAATTACAAATTATTGTCCAAGTAGGATAATGGAGGTAAAACTTTTATATTTACATAATACCTATTCTTTTATACGATTATCTTTTTTTTACCTCAATATAAAGTTGTCTAATACGTTAAATTTATTATTACATTACAGTGTCGCTCTCTTTCACAATGTGGAGATTTAGCTTTTCTTCGAGTTCACCTGCATATCGGGATTGATCAAACGATAGAAGACTACTACTTTCCACAATTGATATTCATACAAAAAAAAAATTTCTCTTTTATCTCCCCAAAAATTAATATTCATTTTATAAAGTTTAGAATTTTCAAAAATCATGTTTCGAAAATTTCAACATATATATATATATATATAAATCGAAATCATATATTTTATCCTCGTCCTGAAAAAATAGGCTCCCATATTCAAATTTCACTACTGGAAAATAAAGAAATATAAAAATTTCAAGAGGATTTATTAAAATTTAAATTAGGGAATTTTAAACTAGAAAAATAGGAAACGGATGAACAAGTTCTAAAAATCAATTGTTAGAATTTTCGTTCAATAGAATTTGATTAGATAGAAATTTCAATGAGTCAAATTTTTATTTGTTCAAATTATTATTTTACAGAACTTTCATTAAATCGATTTTCTATATCACAGAATTTTTATTTACTCGAATTTTAATTTAACATAATAGCCATTTTAATGAATTTTTATTAGGTCGAATATAACCGATTTTTCATACTACACAGAATTTATATACTTAACCGAAAAATTATTTAACAGAATTTGATTTTATTACAGAATATAATAATTTTGTAATCAAAAAAATCGATTTAATGAAAATTCTGCAAAATAATAATACAGAACAAATAAAAATTCAGTTCAATAAAAATTCTATTTAATGAAATTCTACCAAATGAAATTCTATTAAATGAAAATTTTAATAATTGATTTTTAGAACTTAATCATGCGTTCCAAAATTACACAGCAATTAATTATTACAACAAGAAACTCTTATCGGGAAACAATTTTAAATAAGTCAATGACGCGGATTTGATATGACTATCTATTTTTTACAAAATTGTTAAATCTGTTTACAACAAAATTGACAAAGAATAATTACATATATATATATATATATATATACATATATGAGAAAAGGTTGATGATATCAATATATTTTGTGTCGTCAATTGTTTGATAATATTTAACATATACATATTATATTTAATTAAAATGAGAAAAAAGATCCCCTTTTTTTCATATTTTAAATAAAATTTTTATTTGGGATTATAAATTTGGCAACACTGTAAACTGGCTCACTTTCTCCTGAATGAGCGAAACCTTATATTCTGCTGTTTCTTTTAATGAAACTTGGATCATTCTTTTTATATGCGAGATCGATAGTTTGTCAATAAATTATTATTCTTTTGATTAAACAAATATTAGTAAAGAAATCACTACATATTTTACTTATAATAAATTTAAAACCTAATTTTCAATAAAGTAGAAACAAATTTTGCGATTTCATATTTTGAAAAAAGACGTTCTTTAGAATAAGTTTTTTTTTTTTAAATGGATAAAAAATATAAATGAAATAAATAAAATTAAATTTAAAAAATAATATCAGTGAAGTTCACAATGTTTTTGATTAACGATTTAGAAAACAAATTTTTTTGTGCAATATTAAACAAACAACAAAAATTTTTTGGCAAAAATAATCACTTGCAAAAATAGCCCAGTATTCAACCGAATAACATTTTTTCTGCTAATATGTAAAAAATAGGCACCGAAAAAAAATATTTTGCAATTTAGAATACATATATGTACTTAGCACCTATTTTAGAATATTTTATACTTAAATTCAGTATGTAAAATTCTAATTTTAAGAATATAACATACTAAATCAAAAATTCCTAATATCTTTCACTTTTTCTGTCAAAATAATCACTTGCAAAAATAGACCAGTATTTAACCGAATAATCTTTTTTTCTCGCTAATATGTAAAAAATACGCAACGAAAAAAAAATATTCTGACATTTAGAATATATATTTGGCAACTATTTTAGAATATATTCTAAATTTCAGAGTATTTTTTTCGTGTAATAGTCAAACCAAAATCAAATAAATTTTTTTTCCTATTTTAATAGTACCTAGAAAGAAAATTAGAAATATTGTTAATTGTTACGATATATTGTTAATTATAATTAATAAATAACAATATTACGAAAAAGATCAGTTCGATGATGCGTATTACATATTATCCAATATATCTTTGTTATATAAACAAACAAAACTTTCTCCAAAAAGTCGAATAAAAAATCGAACGATATTCTACATATATATGTAAAAAAATGACCAATTAAGTCACAAAAGTAATAACAATAAATATATAAGTGTGTAAAAAGAAAATAAAAGAGGAAATTATATTATAAGCGTTTTGGCGAAGGATTAATATCTCTCAGTATATGCCCTGAAATGTCAGGGACGTTCATTGCTCCCAATCCGTCTCTCTCTCTCTCTCTCTCTCTCTCTCTCTCTCTCTCTCTCTCTCTCTCTCTCTCTCTCTCTCTCTCAGCCTCTCTTGTCGTAAGTTTAATTAATCCTCCGACTGATTTTATCATTCTCTCCATATAATTTTAACGTTTCCAGTAGATGAACAGACATCGCACAAAAAGAAACGTGTGCCTGGAAGTAAATTAAATTCATACACTGTGCACATTCGATCTAATATTAATGCGCGGTTATTTTATGTTACGTTAAAGAAAAACTTACAAATTTAATTGTTATCCAATACAAACAAAATTATATTAAAGTTTATAGTTTGGATCCTAAAATAAATTTGTCGAAAATTGGAAATATTATTGTGCAAAGATAGTAGATAAAGAATTAGACGCATTTTATTTACTGTATTAGTGATTATTTTTTTTCATTAATATAGCTATTAGCAACATTGTGAAATAGATATTAGCGACGAAAATATTTTATCGATTTTGTAAACACATGTAGTAACACTATTTTTTTTGTCACTTGATTAAATTACAAAATATTGATAAATAGATGAGACAATATGAATCACATCCTGTGATTAAGAATATTTCCAAATGACAATTTTTCTTCATAAAACTTGAGAAAATATTCTGTTTATATAATATATGTTTATTAATAATTCAATTAAATTTTTGTTTTATCAAACAATTCTAAAATACCAAATTTAAAGCATAAGCAAAATAATAATTTAAAACAAACTAAAAATGCAAATTGTCACTTGTAAATTTTTTCCGTACAGTAAAATTAATAATGTCGATTATAATTATACGAGGATATGAATAAGCAAATAATTATACATTTCTGACATTCTAATAATTTTAATCCTATTTTACGCGTTTGTTGGAAAACTTGTTGGAACTTCCCGTTTCTCTTTTCTTTCAAGTTCTCTGAACTCTATTCCACTAAAGACCTCGCCGCAACGGAAAGACCATCATATATAAAATAATCCGAACAATCCATTAAAGAAAGAATAAATACAAATTCAAAAAATATGATTTTTGAAAAATCGAAGTGAAACAACAATTTTCGTTTTTTCAATCAATCCTTAAATCAAATTTAATCATCCGCTACTATTTGCGATCCCAATTTTAGAGAATTAAACAAACTTTCTCCAAGAAATAAAGAATCTAAATTTTCTTTAATATCCAAGTGTTAGAAAATCATTATCTATATTTAAAAGTAAAATATTTATAAATCATTAAATTAATTGATAGAAGAAAAAAAAATACTTTATCAAATATGAATTTGCGTACAGAATAATTATTGTAAATGCTCACACAATCTGTGTGCATATATAAAGGCGGTGAATTATTTTGAAATCAGACAAGCTTATAGAGTGCACTTAACTGGGCGCGTACTCTTAAATGTCAAACGAGTTTGCGTCTTAATATAAAAAATCGGGCATCTGATCTGACCACTATATATATACATATATCTATATACTGGAATCGATTCCAGGCCGAAGGAATTGAGAGGCGAAAGGACTTTCCTTCGTTTTAAACTTACGACACGAGGCCTTAAAAACTCAAATAACCTATTCAGAAACGACTTTGTTCACTTACAAATTATTATTATCTATATATACAATGCAATAAAAATTTTCGTATCGAGAAAAACACAATTCTACACAAATACAAGTTTTCAGAATATTAATTAAAAATTTTATTTTTCTAATTACATATCGTGAAATGAAAAATTCCACGAAACAATAAATTTTATTACACTTATATATTGAGAACTGTCTTAACTATTACAAAACGATTTTTTTTCTAAATTTTATGGCTATAAAACAAAATTTTTGTCTTTCAAACATAGAATGTAATTTTTTAAAAAAATTTTATAGTTTAAAATTTGTGTACGCTACGATATATGTATGTATATGTATCATCGGCATTGAGAGAGAAAGGACTTTCAAGAAGAATATAGCTCAGGAGGATGTACAGAAGGAGAAAGGACTCTACGACCTTCGAAGCTATGCGAACATGCGATCAGGTCGCAAAGAAGCTAGCGTATACAATCTAGAATCTAGATCATATTGTATAAACTCTAAAAGTAAACCATATTCAATATCTTTAAAAATCATTTTACTTGAATTCTCCTCAGAAACAGAATTAAATCGATTTTTTATATTACAGAATTTTTATATAACTGAAAATTCACATAATTATTTTTATTTGTCAAAATTTTTATTTGCTTCGAATTATTATTTGACAGAATTTCCGAAACCGATTTTTCATACTACAGAATTTATACTTAACAGATGAAATTGTCCGAAATTGCAAATTACCAAACAAACAATCGACAGAAAGATTTCGGCGCGATTTTTAAAATCAGCCAATCACAATTTTATGAGTAATTTTTGATTGGTTGATTTTAAAAATCGCGCCGAAATCTTTCTGTCGATTGTTTGTTCGGTCATTTGCATTTGCCTTCTTCATTTTAGGGTAAAAAATAAAGTACCTAAATTTGGTACTTTGAACTACTACGAAAACCTAAATTTTTTTTATGAAATAAGTGCAAAAAATCAGTTTCCGTATAGAATTTTGGAGAAGGTACCAAATTTAGGTACTTTTTTTACCCCGAAATGAAGAGTTTAACCCTTTAACATCCAAATGTGCTACTTTTTGACTTGTATTTCAATTTCGTACAATTAGCAGAAAAAAATTTACTCGAGGGTTTTTGGGATTCTTGATTACGAATCTGAAGTCAAAATTTAAAAATTCAAAATGTCCGATCCAATATGGCGAAATTTTTTTTAAAAATTCATCAGATTCACATGAAATTTGTTACATATAACCTCCATGAAGTTGGCGTCGACGCTCAGCGCCGAAAATTATTTTTACAGGCCAAAAAATGTCAAATTATTTTTTTAAAAATACTTTCAGTCCAAATAATACCTTAAGAAATACTTTTCAAGGTATTATGTGGACCGAAAACGTTTTTAAAAATGATTTGATATTTTTGGTCCCATAAAATATAATTTTCGACGCTGAGCGTCGACGCCAACTTCAGGGAGGTTACATATAGATATATTTATATTGATTATAAACGAAATTAATTAAGTTAGAGCACATTATAATGAATGTTATAACCTGCTTTATTATTTATGAAACAATTTCCCTGTTTGCATTCCTCGAAGAAATATATTATATTGATAAACATGGCTGATGAGCAAAAAAGCAATAAATAAAACGAGTCTTCAATAATAATAACAACAACACCAAGTTTAAATGATAGATGATTGGAATAAGTGGAGAAAAAGACATATAACATAAATTTAAAACGAAAAAAAAGAATCTTCTAATTGAATATTATATATTGTGAGAGAGAGAGAGAGAGAATATAGCAATACTTTCAGAAATAATGAACGGTCATTTTGCTTTAACCTGAAAATGTTAAGTTCAAGGAAGCTTTTAAAAACGGATAATGTGTATATAGTTTTGTTTTTATCACTGAAGTTCAAAAAACAATAAAAAAAAGTGAAGAAGAAAATATTATGTTCAAAGAATTCATTATTCTATATTCAATAATATTTGTAGTTAGAGTTTTTTAAACGAACCAAATATAGTGTAAATGTTTAAAATTCAAATTTACATTAAATAAAAATATTTTTTAATTTTCACAAATAATTTAATTATAAATAAATACATTTTTAAAAAATTTATGTCTAAAAAATATTTTTTATCTGCTAGAAACGCAAAAAAAAATTTAGTTCAGTTAAAGGTAAAAATAAATGCAACCTAACCTCAAATTTAGCGTTTCTTGCGCCTCAATAAACAATTTTGATCATTTTTGCGATCTTCTTTAAAATATGCGTATTTACGAAACAACTT